AGCGGAAAGTCTTCCCTCACAGTTCCTGGCCCAGGGGGGTGAAAAATGGGAGTGGGGTCTGACTTTTATTTTTTGAATGTTGAATTACCCTTTTTTTTTTTGAGAGAGATTTTCACTGTAGGGCGCGTGCGCTCGCCAGACAGACAGAGAGAGACATAGAGACAGAAAGCGAGAAATCACCCCCCAGGGGGGATGGTCATGCCGCAATCCCTTCTCCTCCATTCTCCTCTCGGGATCTTGGGCACACATGCACACGCGCCCGGCGTGAGTTTTAAGCCACCGGGTCCGGGCCATGAACCGCGGTCGACTACGTGGGAGTCCAGCGACATAGCCATTACGTTAACTGCTGGTTTCCTCCTTCTTTGTTACCATAGGGTGTGTGCTCTCATCTGGGAGAGAGAGAGAGAGAGAGAGAGAAGGGAAGAAGGAAAGCACCCCCCTCCCAGGGGAATAGCTATGCCATAATCCCTTCTATTCCCCTCCCAGGAGTTTGGGCATGGTCGCACACATGCCTGGTGTTTTTCTCAAGCCACTGGGTCTGAGACTCAAACCACGTAGTTGGCCATGTAGTATCGATCCACCTTTACCACCAAGCCACTTGGCTCGCCCCTATTTTTATGTATAAATCACCCAGTCTCAGGTATTCTGTTAGCAGCATAATAGCAGACTAAGCCCTCAACCTTTAGGGCCCGTGACAACTCTGGACAGTTAGTGTCAGTAATGAATTAACTTATAGGACACCCAGTCATTGTCTGCAGAGAACTGGAAATTGTTTGATGTGGAAAAACCTGCACAACTGCAGTCAAAGAACAGAGGAAACAGGAGTTTTCTTTTCGTTTTCAAGTGGAGTCTCACCCCCTTGCTTTGGAAATCCAAGAGTTCACCTTCCCCATACAACTAATCAACTGGACTGCTTCAGGTGTCTCCACAGAATGCCTCAAGCACTGTAGGCCTGGTCAGAACCAACAGAGGTTCAAGTGATCTGGGTTGTGTGTTTATACTGTTAACCCCCAGCTTAACTCTGGCAGTGTAGACCTGAATTGAGGACACTAGAAAGTTGGGAGTTATTAGAGGGAAAGACTCCGTAAATCTGTGTTTGTTTTTACTTCCTAATTCCCAAAGGTTAAATCCTAGGGCTCTTCTCACATTTAGCTCCCTTCAGTCAGCGGACTGATTGCCCTAGGGAGCTTAGATAAAAGCTGAGAGGTGCACCCAATGGGGCAGGGGGCTTTTTGGTTTTAATTAATTGGCGATGTTTGCATGAGAGAGGTTACAAGTTCAGGGCCCACATCACTCAATTTCTGCCCTCAGATATTGAATCTAAGCCAGTGATTTTCTGGTTGCCTAATAGCACCGAGAATTATCTAAATGAAAGCCAAGGGCACTGCCAGACTTTCATTTGGGTTTTACAGTACGTCTCAATTATCTGTAATCTCACTTCTCACTTTAGTTTGTTTGTTTGAGAGGGTTTTTTTGCTACAAGGCGCATATGCTTGCCAGAGAGACAGAGAGACAGAAAGTGAGAAATCACCCCCCAGGGGGGATGGCCACACCGCAATCCCTTCCCCTCCATTCTCCTCTTGGGATCTTGGGTATGCACGCACATGTGCCTGGCGTGAGTTTAAGCCACCAGGTCCGGGACTCGAACCACGGTCGACTACATGAGAGTTCAGCAACATAGCCATTATGCTAACTGCTGGTCCCCCAGTCTCACTTTCTATGGTTTTAGTTCCCCATGGCCGACCGGGCTCCTGATATAGGTGAGTTCAGTACAATAACATAGTGTGAGAGAGAGAGCGAGCCTATTCACATTACTTAGTACAGTATATCACTATAAGTGTTCTATTTTATTATTAGTTACTATTAGTTAATCACTTGCTATGCCTAATTTATAAATTAAACTTTATCATAGGTATGTACATATAGGGAAAAGCCTAGTATATAGGGGATTCAGTAATATCCCAGGTTTCAGACATCCACTGAGCGTCTAGGACTATATCTCCCGTGGATAAGAAAGGGGCAACTGATAAGTATCCTCAACTGGACTGGTGTGAAGAGTATTGATGTTGGGAAAATTCACTTTACACGCTAAGTGATATATAGTGATTGAATGTATAAAAGAAATTAAATTAAAATAAAATATATTAAAAATAAAACAGAAAGGGACAACTCTATTAACTTCAAAGTGTTTAAGGTAAAAAAGGATCGTCCTTTCTAGCCCTATGGGGTGTCTGTGCTCCTCTCCAGCTTCCCTTACTTACGCAGAGATGTTCTCTAGCACTGCCCTCTCAGCTCTGTTAGTTTTGGCCTTTTATCAAGGGACAGGAATGAGAGGCTCTGCTTGTGCCCTGAAGATGTCAGACACACCCCCCTGACCTTTCTTCCAGTCGAATGGCTCTGATAAGTAGGCAGTCCTTGAGCCTGGAGACCCACAGACACACTTGGATGATTGCTACAGAAATCAGTTAGGCAATCTCCTCCTAGGGGCTCAGAGCCCACTCCGGATGTGAGCCGGGTGCTGGCCGCCAGTGCTGCCGACATGGCCAATAGGACCAACTCCTCCGCAGCCTACTATAGCTACGAATACTACCTGGACTACCTGGACCTCATTCCTGTGGATGAGAAGAGGCTGAAAGCCAACAAACGTAAGTCTGAACCCGGGAAGCGGTCAGGCAGAGACTGGGGTTGGCCCTAATGACTGGCACTCCAGCTTTTTCTCCATCCACTTATTAACTCCATGGATGAACATGTACCCAACAATACAGCCAGTGCACACATCAATATAAATGTGTGTGTGTGAGCGTGCACGCACGTGCGTGTATGTGTGTCCCTAGTCTGATAGTTGAAGGAGCCAGATCTCACATGCCCAAATACATGGCTGAAATCTAGCCCCAGTGGCTTAGGATGTGTGTGTGCGTGCCCAAAATCCCAACAGGGTGGAGAAGTGAAGAAATGGAGAAGGGATTGCATTGTGACCATGCCCCATTGAGAGGTGCTTTTTCCCCTTGTCTCTCTCTGGTAAGCTCACACACCTTGCAGCCTATAAACTCTCCCCCCACCATGCCCCCACAAATAAATAAACAAGTGAGGCTTGGAAGTAAAAATGGTATCCATTACCTCCTGTAATAAACTTAGAATTGACCTAAGAAATAAAGAGGACTAGCCTGTGGCGTGGTGATGAAGGGAGCTGGATCTTCACATGCTTGACTATGTGGTTCTAGTCCCAGACCTGGAGGTTTAAGAAACAGGCCAGGCACATGTGCATGTGTGCCCAAAACCCCAAAAAATGGGGAAATGGAAAAGAAGGGATTGAGACATGACTATCCACCATGGGGGTGATTTTTTCACTTCTCCTCTCTCTCTCCCTTTCTTATTCTGGTGAGTGCACGAGCCCTTTGGCAAAATTAAAAGAAGATGCCTTGGAAGCAGAATTTTCTCTCTATATATATCTCTCTCTCTCTTTCTCTCTCTTTTGAGAGGTTTTTGCCTTAGAGAGTGTGCGCTTACCAGAGAGAGAGAGAGACAGTGAGAGGGAAAGTGAGAAATCAACTCCCAGGGAGAATGGCCACACCGCAATCCCTTTTCCTCCATTCTCCTCCTTGGGCACACAAACATGCACCTGGTGTGAATTTCAAGTCACCAGATCTGGAATTCGAAATATTGGTTGACCCTGTGGAAGTCCAGCAACATAACCACTACGCCATCTGCTGGCCCCAGAATATTCTTTCAAGATGGATTTCTTAATAAAGTTTACTTTATTTGAGGTTCCAACATGCGGGTGAGTTTCTTCAAGTTGTAGGTTTGTTTTTGTCCATTGTCTGTATTTAAGTTTGGGAGCATTATTTTCTCCACTGCTAAAATGTATGATTTAATAATTTCTGTTAAAATGTCAGTGCCTTCATAATCTCAGAATGTTTTGTTTTTGGTTTTGGGAAAAATAGATCCACACAAGTTAACTTCCTTTTACTCATCTGCCCTCCCATTCTTTTTTTTTGGGGGGGGGATAGTTTTGCTACAAGGCACATGCACTCGCTGGAGAGACAGAGACAAAAAGTGAGAAACCACACACACACACACACACACACACACACACACACACACACACTCCACCCCAGGGAAATGGCCAAGCAGGACTCCCTTCTCCTCCATTCTCCTCTTGAGATCTTGGGCATGCACACACACACGCTCAGTATGAATTTTAAGCTGCCAGGTTCAGGACTCAAACTGCAGTCAACTGTGTGGGAGTCCAGTGATGTAGCCATTACGCCATCCGCTAGTCCATGCCCTCCCATTCTTTATCTCTTTGGTAACTTGGCACTTTGCAGACGTTCTTACCTGATAAGTCCAGTTACTCAGTCAAGATAGCAAGTTGGCAGAGGAAATGAGCATGAAAAACAAAACAAAGACAAAACCCTGGAATGTTGCATATCAGTTCCAGGAAGTCATTCTCTGTCTATCCCCTAAGAAATCTTGGGTATATAATCACTAATATGTCTATCAGAAAGTAAATGCAGTCACTAGAAGGAATAACCTGTTTTTTGTATAGAAAAATTAGTCTGTTACACATTAAGTCAAAACTGAAATGCATTTGAGTGCTCTCGGTTACAAAGGTGAAGAAAAGCACAGGCAGAACACTTGGGGACAGCCACCTAGAATCTCTCGTGACGTAGAGTTCCTGTTTCCATCTTCACCACAGCTTCCAGCTACCCATCCATGCTTGCTCAGGACTTCCTCTGTTCCTAGCACCATAGGAAAGCTTTCGAGGAGCAGTAGTTTTGATGTGTGTTCTCTGATGCAAAGTAGCTTATGAAATTGAAATGCAGACTTTTGCACATATAACTCATAATCAAGAAGACATAAACTCATGGGGAGAAAGTGGAAGAATTAAAATAAAATCCACATGTAAGTACAGATGACTCTTGAGCAATATGAGGGTTAGGGACACGAGCCCCATACCTCCCACACAGTTAAGAATCTACATATTAACTTTGACTCCTCCAAACCTTTACTAATAGCCTACTGTTGACTAGAAGCGTTTCAGATAACCTGAATATTTGTTTAGCTATATTACGTATGCTATGTGTATTAGATACTGCATTTTTACAATATACTAGAGAAAAGTTATTAGAAAATTATAAGTAAAAGAAAAAAAACCATTTACAACACTGTCCTTTATTTTCTAATATAGTTATTGAAAAAATCCACATATAGGTGGATCCACACAGTTCAAATCCCTGTTGTTCAAGGACCAACGGTATAGTCAAAAATTTAGAATTTAGGAAGGCTTAGTGGCATCATGGTGACGTGCTGCTCAAGAAAAATTAGATCCATATGAAGATCATGGGTTTGGTTCCTCAGCTGACCTGTACAAATGGGATTTGTACAGTCTGTACAGCTGGGAGTGCAAGACCATAGTCCTGACAGGCTGGGAAAAGTGGGGGAGATTGTAGCATGAGACCTGGTTGAGGACGCTTGTCTTTCTCTGTCTCTCACTCTCATAAAATAGAAAATGAAAACAACTTTTTATAAAAGTTCAAAACTCTAGGATAGATACTGATCTTGATGAAACATTCAGAAGTCTTTTTTTTTTAAGTGAACAGAAATTAGATAAAATTCTGAGTCAGCTTCAGATACTCTACCCTGTATGCCAGATCTCCCACTGGCTCACTGCCACGTCTCCAGAGCTCGTCCCTCTGCTTTGGAGGAAAGTACTGTTTACAGTCTTAGAACCCACAGTCTCAACCTTCTGCCCCTGACTCACAAACCACTTCCCTTTCTGGGAAAAGTTGATGTCCCCTAAGTTGCCTGTGAGTTTGAGAAAATGTTCTTTCCTGCGCACATGAACTAAAGGTGAAAGTTTATAGCTCTTGAGTACAGAAATGAGGTGAAATGAGAAACTCCTCCTCAAGCTCCCAAACCCAATAAAAACCATCTATCTCAAAGAGGGAGTGAGGGAACCATTGCCAAGAGAGACCAGTCACTGGGTCTTCCCTATGAAGATTAATCAGCTATTGTTTTAATAGAAGTTATGCTTACCCAAGTTACGCTTCTTAGGGGATAAATAAGATATCTCTCAGGACCAGCAATTGGCATAATGGCTATATTGCTGGATTTCCATGTAGTCTACTGCAGTTCGAGTCCCGGACCCGGTGGCTTAAACTCACACTGGGCACATGTGTGTGTGTGCCCAAGTTCCCAAAAGGAGAATGGAGGAGAAGGGATTGCGGTGTGGCCATCCCCCCGGGAAGTGATTTCTCACTTTCTGTCTCTCTGTGTCTTTCTGGTGAGTGCACGTGCCCTATAGCAAAAACCTCTCCAAAAAAATCTCTCTCCCAAATTTGCATATAGACACTGGAAAATGCAAAATCTATGATTTGAATAAAGTCATCCAGCTTATGAGGGACCCAAACAAATTAAACTCTTATTAAGAAATCTACTTTAAAAAATATTTTGGGACCAACCTGGTGATGTAGTTGGAAGCAAACAGTGCCTGAAGTCACATAGCCAACTGTGGGTTCAGATCACATTAGCACCTTGAAAACATGCAAGATATATACAAGTGTGCCCAGGATCCTGACAAGTTGGGGGGCTGGGGAAGAGAGGCCCTGTCAAGGAACTTAACTCTCTCATGCTTTTTATCATAAATAAAATAAAGTTGAAAGAAAATTGGGGACCAGCAGGCGGCATGGTGGTTAAGGCGCTGGACACTCCCACATGGCCAACCATGGTTTGAGTCCCAGACCTGGTGGCTTGCTTTCTCACTTTCCCTCTCTCTCTGTCTCTCTCTGGTCAAATTAAAATAAATGAATGAATAAATAAAATTAAATAATTTTTAAAAACAAAGGAAGAAAATAGATTCGAGGGCCAGCTAGATGGTGATTCAGGTGGCTAGATATCACACGGCCAGCTGCACAGTCTGAGTCTCGCACCCAGCAGCTTGAAAAACACATCAGGCATGCGTGCTCAAAATTCTGAGAGGAGAACGGAGGAGAAGGGATTGCAACGTGGCCATCCCCCCTTGGAGGTGATTTCTCACTCTCTGGCTCTCTCTGGTGAGCACATGTACCCTACAGCAAAACTAAAATAAATAAATAAATAAATAAAAATAAAAATAAATGTATTAAAAGTATATATTTTGCTTCAAAAATGTCTCAGTTTCTTAGGGGGTTAATTCCAAATTTATCACAGAGACGCGTATCATTTTAACCCCAAGCCCGTAGATGTTGGGGGTCATTGATACCCACAGAAGGAGGCACCCTTTTAGTTCAATTTCATTCCTGTTTCTATCCTGGGTGTTTCAATCTTTATACCTATCTGAATTTCATTTTTATTTTGTCTAGAAGAGAAGTTTGGGACTAAATTAAAATACCCTCCAAAAAAATGTTTAAACTCTGAATAGGTAGTTGTCCACTTTTTTCTGAGGACACCAGGGGACAGGAACCGTGATCAGAGCCCCACTGGGACTTGCATCTGGGTGCTGCCATTCACCAGCTCTGTGACCTTAGGTGACACCAGATTCAAGAGGAAGGAATCAGAGCCCACCTTTCAGTAAATGTTAAAAATTGGAGGGAAGCTTTTAAAAAAAAAAAAAAACTTTCCAGAAGTTTGCATGTGTTTGCCAGAGAGAGATGGAGAAAAGGAGAAA